AACACGCAATCATTTCGGTGTTTCCAGATCTCCCATGATGGCACAATAATCTGAGTAAACACATGCTTATTTATTTGAAACATATATAGTGCCCAAGGGCAAGCAGACATAACCAGTTCAACATGATCAAGATTCATTCTCAAAAACAAATGTCATAGTTCACAGATACAAAGGGTCGATTGGTTGGTTTGAGAAAAGACTGAGTGACTGATGATGCATGCACTGGTTAACACACCTGTTGTTCATAACACATCCAATAATAATTTGAACCACAAATAGAGCTGACAATCATACAGATCAAAATATATCTATAAATTTACGTGTGCATACATAGGCTCATAGCAGTAAGTTAGCACTAAAAAAATCGTTCAATTGATGCAGATCCATAAGGATTTCTTTTTTAACCACACTCTTTCATGTAATGAAAAATACTAAATACATATATCAGATTTTAAACAACTCAAGAGTTGCCTAAAGAGTATTTGCAGTTACATCCAGGAGTGTGAACAACACCGACAGCCTATGTTAGTAGTGAAAATAATAAGAATGGCTGCAACTCAACCGTTTCACTAATACAGAATAACGATTCGAAAACTAAAAAGGAGGGAAGACATAATCTGCAGAAAAAGTAAAGCAGCGACTTTTGTAAGAAGGGAAACATGATCATTATTTGGAGAACGCAGTCAAGTTCTTCATCAAACAACAACAACAACAAAGCCTTTAAGTCCCAAACAAGTTAGGGTAGGCTAGAGTTGAATGAAACCCAGCAGAAGCAATCAAGGTTCAGGCACGTGAATAGCTGTTTTTCAAGCACTCCTATCTAAGGCTGTCTTTAAGTATATTACATCCTTTCAAGTCTCCTTTTATTGCCTCTACCCAAGTCAACTTCGGTCTTCCTCTGCCTCTCTTCACGTTACTATCCTGGCTTAGGATTCCACTACGCACCGATGCCTCTAGAGGTCTCCGTTGGACATGTCCAAACCATCTCAACCGGTGTTGAACAAGCTTTTCTTCAATTGGTGCTACCCCTAATCTATCACGTATATCATCGTTCCGAACTCGATCCCTTCTTATATGACCGTAAATCCAACACAACATACGCATTTCCGCGACACTTATCTGTTGAACATGTCGTCTTTTCGTAGGCCAATATTCTGCACCATACAACATAGCAGGTCTAATCGCCGTGCTATAAAACTTGCCTTTTAACTTCTGTGGTACCCTTTTGTCACATAGGACACCAGATGCTTGGCGCCACTTCATCCACCCTGCTTTGATTCTATGGCTAACATTTAATATCCCCGTCTCTCTATAGCATTGATCCTAAATATCGAAATATACCCTTCCTAGGCACTACTTGACCTTCCAAACTAATATCTTCCTCCTCCCGAGTAGTAGTGTCGAAGTCACATCTTATATACTCAGTTTTAGTTCTACTTAGTCTAAAACCTTTGGACTCCAAAGTCTCCCGCCATAACTTCAGTTTCTGATTCACTCCTGTCCGGCTTTCATCAACTAGCACTACATCGTCCGCGAAAAGCATACACCAAGGGATGTTCTCTTGTATGTCCATTGTGACCTCATCTATCACTAAGGCAAACAGATAAGGGCTCAAAGCTGACCCTTGATGTAGTCATATCCTAATCGGGAAGTCATCCGTGTCTCCATCACTTGTTCGAACACTAGTCACAACATTGTTGTACATGTCCTCAATGAGCCCGACGTACTTTGTTGGGACTCTATGTTTGTCCAAAGTCCACCACATAACATTCCTTGGTATTTTATCATAAGTCTTCTCCAAGTCAATAAAAACTATGTGTAGGTCTTTCTTCTTCTCCATATACCGTTTCATAACTTGTCTTATTAAAAAAATGGCTTCCATGGTTGACCTTCGGGGCATGAAACCAAATTGGTTCATAGAGACCCGCGTTATTGCTCTCAAGCGATGCTCAATAACTCTCTCCCATAGCTTCATAGTATGGCTCATCAACTTAATTTTCCGGTAATTAGTACAACTTTGAATATCCTCTTTATTTTTATAGATCGGTACCAATATACTTCTCCTCCACTCGTCAGGCATCTTTTCGATCGAAAAATATGGTTGAACAGCTTGGTTAGCCATACTATAGCTATGTCCCCGAGGCATCTCCACACCTCGATTGGGATACCATCCGGTCCCATCGCCTTACCTCCTTTCATCCTTTTCAACGCCTCTCTGACCTCAAATTATTGGATTCTCCGCACAAAGCGCCTATTGGTGTCATCAAAAGAGTCATCCAACTGAAATGTTGTGTCCGTATTCTCACCATTGAATAATTTGTCAAAATACTCTTGCCATCGATGTCGGATCTCATCCTCCTTCACCAAGAGATGCTCCCTTTCATCCTTAATGCACTTAACTTGGTTGAAATCCCTTGTCTTTCTCTCAAGAACCCTAGCCATCCTATAAATGTCCTTCTCTCCTTCCTTCGTACTCAAATGTTGGTAAAGATCCTCGTACGCTCTACCCTTTGCCACACTTACAGCTCGCTTTGCAGTCTTCTTTGTCACCTTGTACTTCTCTATATTGTCCACACTCCTGTCATCGTACAAACGTTTATATCATTCTTTCTTCTCCTTAATAGCCCTTTGGACTTCTTCGTTCCACCACCAAGTATCTTTAGCCTCGCCTCCACTTCCTTTGGTTACTCCACACACCTCTGAGGCAACCTTCCGAATGTTGATTGCCATCTTCTCCCACATGTTGTTTATGTCCTCTTCTTCCTTCCAAGAGCCCTATTTGATAACCCTTTCTCTGAATACCTTTGACGTCTTCCCTTTCAGTTTCCACCACTTTGTTCTTTCAATCTTAGCTTGTTTATCCCTACGGGCACGCACCTGAAAACGAAAGTCTGCCACCAAAAGCTTATGTTGAGAAACAACACACTCCCCTGGTATCACCTTGCAACCCAAGCATGCTCGTTTGTCCTTTCTTCTTGCAAGGACAAAGTTAATCTGGCTAGAGTGTTGTCCGCTATTGAAGGTCACTAGATGAGATTCTCTTTCTAAAGAAAGTGTTGGCTATCATCAGGCAATCAAGTTCTTCATCATTATGTAGAAATGTCATTGGGTATTATACTACTAAGAAGTCAATCACTGTCACTAGACAGAACGCCCTGCAAAAATCACCACCAGAATGAAACCTTTTTGGCATTGGCCCCAAACGATCACTATTTTGCAATCTCAATTGGAGAAAGTGGGCACTCAGAGAGTAACTGTACTTATGAGAAAGAAGATCTCAACTCAGATACAACAAATCCAGCCTTAATAGCTCATACACTATAAACATACTACCTTGGCATTAAATTTACGGCCTTCTGCTTCCAGAAACTTAACTGAATGTATATCCCTAAGTAATCTTCATTGCAAAAAGTATATTGTCTACTCGTGCTTAAGAAATTGGCATTTATTGATCTCTATAAGATCTATGAGATGTTGAGAATCTATGATCTCTCTAGTCATCTTGAGCTTCATAATCTGGCTGGTAGGGGGCCGCAAAGCTACAAAAGTTTCTAGTCAAATAAAAACACCTACAAGAATAAACTATTGGTAAAAGACCCTGAGCAAGAGTAATATCAAGCAGCACTCACATGGGAATATGGGATGGCAATCACAGTGAATTAATAAATCAATATATTTCACGCAAGCCATAATAGTACTGTTCCAGGATATGTTCTTAGGCTACCACATAAACTGCAGACTATACAGGTATACTTGCTTGAATGGGGGAGATTGCTTTAGGGGCGTCTTACCAAAACATAGCCCAAGTAACTGGTAGAAGATACTCTGATAGTCAAAGTTCAGATGAGAAACCTAAACATGGAAGAAACAGTGTTGATTCAGGAGTAGCCACTGAAAAAAGGCCCAATGCCTGAAGAACTGAAGCTTTCTGCTAAACAGAAGGAAAAGACTGTAGGATTGTACTTCGAGACAGATAGAATTTGTCATATTCAGTAAAAAAAAACTGATGTCAGAGCTGTAGGAGGATTGCCCCTGTATGTATTACACTGCAAATCTTCAAAGTTGAAACTGATGTTAAACTCACTTTTGGTATTCACAAAAAATAGAACCAGGCATTTATATTATTGCAAAGAATCTATATAATACAATCAACTACATCTGTTACATAGTGCCACTTATTCTTCAGAAGCATACATGGAAACATTTGCTGGAAACGCATACATGGAAACATTTGCCACTTATTCTTCAAAGTAGAGAAATATTATATAGAAAAAAATTCATTTCTTCACATGCACAGGACAGAAGAAAGACAAATCCACAGTTCACTTACAGTTGAAGAATATGTTATGAAAAACACTAGCTCAACTTAAACTGGTTGTAATAAGGAATAATTGACTATAGCTGAATAGAATACATTCTTCATTCAGCTTCTCCTCGACAGCCAAAGCGAATGCAAGTAACCAGCAGCACAACAACCAGTCACATTCGAGCTTAATGTGACAGAGCTCTCAGTTCAAACATTTCTGAGACATGACCACCGCATCATATGGAAAATAAATGCAATTTCCAGCATAAATGAACATACACATCACCGAGGAAAACACAAATTCAGTCAGTAATTGCTCGATAAGGCTGAGAGAAAGGAAGCACATATAAAAGATGGAGACATCATTCCGGAAACACAAAGGGTAGCATTTCAAACTCATAACTTGGATGTGCTGGGTAGCTCGAACTAGACCTAGTTGGCTAGTTCATGGCATCATGCATTAACAAAAGAACTAGCATATTTAATGCTAAACTGCATGCTGTCTAGTAAACAGCTCTCACAACATTACAAAAGGGTTACATTAAAGCACCAGCAGAATAGATCACCTATTGATAATAGATAAATCCAAATTTGCACCACCTAATACATAGATTTACCCACACTGCTAGTTGCCCATACTTGGAAGATCAAGCTCTTGCTGAACATTCAGAGAAGTATCCCACAAGCAACAACCTCAGTCCTTGGTGGCAAGAACCGGTGACTCCATGAAATATGGAACATACGGGGTAATAGACCGATATCCCTCTCCTAGAGTGCAGAGAGCATGCAGCTCCTTACTATCCATGTCATATGACACCAGTTTCTGGTTCCAGTGCTGAACAAGGATTATCGAATTGTGGTCCGGATGAATGACCACAATATCGTGGTTGTCGATTGGGCAACACTCAGTGATCCAAAGAGCTGCGAAAAGCTCACATTGTGCTTCAGGATCCATTCTTGTGTATCATAGTCCTCAAGAACCCAAACTGACAGTTGCGTGAAATGGAACTTGAACTTTTGTGATTGCAGATTCGTACTGATGCAGTGCAGATGGCCTTGGGATTGACCAATAAAAGCAATGGCATCTACATGCTTAACAGGTGGACAAATGATCCTACAAATTGCCCCTTCCCCATCCACCGCAACTATCAGATTCTCCTCTTCCTCATAATGGTAGGCAACAAAATGCAATAGACCATTGACCAAAGCCCTGCCGCGCATGAAAAGGAGAACAGCTTCACTAAAAAGCAACAGACCATCGACCAAAGCCCTGCCGCGCGTGAATTCGATTATGGCTTCACCACGACCCTGCAGTACCCCCATCCACCGCGCTCTTCACCTGGCTCCCACTTGTTTGACGTGTCACTCCATGCCCTGGTTTCAGACGAGTAAGAGTGCACCGTTTTCACCTCAAACGTCGACCTATCCTGCCAGAACTGGACCAAGTGGAAGCGCGAGGAGACAATCGGGTCAAACATCAGATAGGTGTGTGCATATGTATCCCCATCACAGACATCGACAGTTCTGTCTTCCAGTGGAGTAAGCGAAGGAGGCGGACAAGAACCAGAGCTGGCGGGCATAGTCACCAATTCCTCGGTCGCAGGGTTGCACACGATGTACCCGAACTCGTTCTCCCGGGTGCACCCAAAGAGCAGGAGCCCATTGCAGGAATCCAAGAGGTCCATGCGCTCGACCCAAGGCAGCTTCGCCGTGAGAAAGGAGAAGGAAGGGTCGACTGGAGGAGCAGATTCTCCCCTCCCCGACAGGCTGGTGAAGTGCCCATTGCTGTGACGCCCGCCAGCGCCACCGTGGAAGAAGCCTTCCAGGGTCTGGGGCAGCTTCTTGCGGTGGAGGGGGTCGGCGATGAGGTCGCGCCAGGGTTTGGACACGCACGTGGAACGGCGGAGGTCCTTGACGGGCAAGCGAGAGAGGATATCCACCATCAGGTCGTCGCAGAGGCCCGCCACCGCCGTCCCCTTTGCGCAGTCCATGCCGCCGGGAGTGGGGAAGGGATGCGCCGCAAGCTGCGAGTTCTGCGGAGAATGAGGTGAGGATAAGGGATGGATGCGCACGAGAGACAGGGAGGGAGAAATGCGGCGATTGGGGAACGAACCGGCTGCCGGAGAGGGTCGGCGGCGGCGAAGGCGCGCCAACCGGCGGGGGAATTTCTAAACCCTCACCCCTCTCGCGTGTCGCGTCTGGCTCACGAGTCGGGATTCATTTCTAATAGCCCAAGTTTAAGGTGCGTTTTGTTAATGTGCCGGCACCACAAATTGAAACCGTGAAGTGTGAAACCCTGTCTCACGCTGTCAGCCAGTGTCTCGTTTTTGGCTAAAAAGAGGAGGTCTGAGTGCATTTCTTTATTGCATTTCAAAATAAAAGGAAAATGAAACGAATGAACAATTATGATTGCTCTTTTGATTCTTGAAAACTTCAAACACTAAACATCCGTCACTGTGTACATAGGAAATAATGAGTTACTCCTACGTTTTAGAGCATCTTCAAAAGCCTTTCTAAATCTCACTTTAAATCATTATTGAAAAAGTCATTTGCATAAAAATTATTTTCTATATTTTTTATTATTCAACAGTTTTTCTATATCATGCATACTTTAGAGAGCCATTCTTATCTTCTATTTTTGGCTAGCGAAAAATCCAGATAGAAAATGGCTATATTTGAATGACCATTTAGAAAAGCTATTAAAGGATGGTTTTTCACTAAAATCTCTATTCATAGTATTTAGAAATGATATGTAAAGTTTTTTGAGATGCTCTTAGCAATGGGAAACAGTTTAAGATCAGGCAAAAAAGTGGGAGTATATCATATACCGTGTTTGGGGTGTGGGGGGAAGTGGCCTATGGTTCCGAACAACGAGAGTAAAAAGACAATTTTAAATGCAAATGGGACTGATTGGAGTGGCGTGCATGATTATTTATCTTGTTCGCTTGGCTGATAAATCATGATTGAAAATACTATTGGCTGATTTATTATGAGAGAAAAATATTATTCATTGACTGAAAAAAAAAATACTGACTTATAAACAGGCGAACAGGGCGATTGATCGTAGCATGCCAGTGCCAAGGGGTAATGGACACGATAATCGACATCAAAAAATTCGGGTACATGTTCAGCTAACCCAGACATTGTCAATCGATTCGCTCTCCTATGTTTTATACGGAGTACCAGAGAAAAGAGAGGCAACCGCCTTGGCTATGCAGACATCATCAACCACAGAAAGGATGAAAGACCTAGCCTCTGCTAGCATCAAATCATATACCCAAATTTACATTCTTGAGACCTGATAGATAAATTGCAAGGAAAACAGAAAAAGGGCCGCAGCCACTCAATTAATCGAATGTAACATGCTAGCATTTCTTGTTTCTGTATACATTGAGACTACCCCTAGTACACCTCAAAGCCTCAGTATCCACACAATACAATTCCTTCTCCAGCACATGAGGGAACCGATGATGTGTGATCTTCCCGTCCTTTTTTGCTAACATGCAGTTTGAGAAGGTGGAACGTTGCTATGGAGTAGCACCTCCACAAAACAGGATTAGCAAGTCTTCAAAAAGTATTTGGCGCATTACTTACAGCAGCTATGGCATCAGCCATCACCTGGAAAAAAAATATATACTTGCATTTATGATGATAGCTTATGGGTGATCAGGCAGATTCAGATCATATAAAAGAAAATTAGCATCAACTAATCTATGCTCTATATAGTACCAGTGGTTCATTTTTTTTTACTTCTGGCCTATAAAAAGATGAAGCCGGCGAGAAAGAGCAATACAGGAGACAATGGCCAAAATGAGTGCAAGAGAGAAGGTATACTAAAGTAGCACGTACAAACGAACAGTATAAGGAAAAGTTCTTCACAAGAAAATTAGCTAAGCTAACTAGAATAAGGAAAATAGCATAAAGGAGGACTAACTATGAAAATCATACTCACTTGATTGGGGATCAACATGAACAAAGAAACTGGCAGCAACTATTAGATAACATAGGATCAGCATAAGTCCTTTCAAGTAGTTCGCGGTGCCATCCTGTGATGAAACAAGTACATTGCACAGGGTCAGATATCAAATGTAGCTCAGATTCGTACAAAACAGATCTCAGTGAAATGAAACAAGATGATAACTGGTCAAACACATCACTACTCAAGGATAGAGATCATACAAATGCCTGATTATTGATGGGAATTGAGGGAGATGTTGAACAGGAGACTTAGCAAATAAGATACAAACTGAATAGCTAAAGTCTATATGTAAACCTAAATAGATCAAAATGAGCTTATGGAACCCTAAGAAAGCTTGAAGCAGCTCAGCTTCACAAACAAATAAGAAAAGGAGAAATACAAAGAAACTATATTGTTCTAAGTTGCTCTTATTTAAAGAGATAGTAACATAAACTTCAGTGGACAATATAGCCATTGAAGCACTGAAGCTAATAACAGCAGTGTTCGAACTGAACTAGCTCAGCTGGTAGAAGATATGGGTGTACACGGCACTGAGGTTTGGTCATTTTTTACTCTGTGTACCTATTTCTCCTTATTAACACAATGCCACCTATTGCCTCTTAGGTTGGTCGAGTTTTTTAATATTAATGTGCACCCTGACACTTCAAACAAGTCCACTATTATAGAGATGAATGATGAAACGTTACAAATATGGCCATTCAACCACTGCCCAAACGGTGAAATGGACATAAGTTCACAATCCATATGATGGCATAAATAAATCGGGGCCAAATAAATCTTATCAAGATGGCCATTCTACCACTGCCCAAAGGACAAAATGGACACATATTCACAATCCATATGATGGCAAAAATAAACCAGGGCCAAAATAAACCTTACCAACAGGCAACAGCAGACACGTTTCATAAAAGTTTTTCTTAATATCCACCTTAAGAACTTACCTGTAGCATAAATGCCACCACGAGTACTGTTATGAAGAGAGTTGCTGTCTCAAATAGCTGAAAATTCAAGTCCATCTTTTGTCCCATCATCCAACCAATAACAACACAAAATGGAATCTGTATTGGAGTATACCATGTCAAACCTCACGGAGAAGAATTTAAGACATTTTATGTAATTCAGTAATAGACTTCTGTTTCCTTAATAACTAAAATTCAGGTAGGGGTTCTCCCCGATTTTTTTCAAAAGAAAAATAAAAGGACAAAAGGATAGGATAAACAAGTACTAATGTGTGAACCAATGCTAACATGTCAAAAGGTTTATGCTCGACATAACAAGTGAGAATTTTTTTAACGTAATGGGCCTGTTTGGTACAGCTTATAAGCTGCTTATGGCCAAAATAAGCTGAAATCAACAGCCAAACGCCACGTTTTTCAGCAGCTTATTCTGGCCACGCTTATTCCCACAACTCCCATTTGTACTAAAAAGCAGAAGCTGGATTAGGCCAGCTTATTTTGACCGCCGCTTTTACTCTATTTGTGCAGCTTATCTGGGAAGCGCTTCCCAGATAAGCTGTACCAAACAGGGCCAATAACAAGTGAGAATGTGGATGCAGAGATCAGAGAATGGGGTAATAAGTTAGAAAGTCAAAAAAGTACCACAAACATTGATATCTGTGTTGATGAACCAATTGCAACACCGAGTGTTATGTCCTGCAGGAGAGATAATCACATGCATGAATACTGAACAGGTAAAAAGTAACAGAACCATGAAAGCGAAGCTCAAGCTCATGTGAACACTTACAAGTTTATCTTTGATGGCAAACATTATTGCGCTTGCATGTTCAGCTGCATTGCCCACAATAGGAAGCAAAATAACACTGATAAAAGCCACCGGTAGGTTCAATGAATCAGATGCTCCCTGACAGCAATAGATCAAAACAGTGACCAGTTACATCCTTGCAGAGGTATCAGATGACCTGTAAATAGTAATACTACCAATGTACATCATGGTAATAGTAGTAACTAGTAAGTAATTAGATTTGTCCTACAGATAGCTGCATGTAACCATTTCCTTTTTTTTTAAACGAATCAGGCAGGAGGGCTGCCGATTATATTCAAAAACAGATCAAGCCCAGACTAGGCAAAAGTAAACAGATACAACTCTGGTCGGTTGGATTGGGACATCAACACGCACCAAAACCACAAACTCAAAGAAGAAAAAATAACTCTGGCCGGTCGGAATGGGACATCGACACGAGCCGCGACTCAACAAAAAACACACCTTCACCGCCACCAAACCACCACAAACTGGTCATTACACTGCACCGCCACCCCCCGAAAGACAAAGTCGTCAACACGAAAATGCCCTCGTCACCGCTTGTGCCGTCGTTGCCGACGATGTCCCGCACCGAGTAGCCCACTGCTAAGCAGGGCTAGCCGCTGCAAGCCGTGTAGCCCTTCCGCAATCAGATCCGCTTGCGCCATCTCTGAAGACGTTGTCCCACACTGGAGTAGCCACTACAAAATAGGGCTACCCGCAGAAGGCCGCTGCAAGATGCCAAACTGACACGAGAGGAGCTGCCTCAGGCGCACACCAAGCCAACCTTGTCCACCGAGATCCACGCGCGCGCACCGCAGCTTCCCAGTAGCCTAGTTGTCTCAACGAAGGTACAAGTGCTACAAACGCCCTCCGGCTGCCGATCAGAAGCTTCTTGCACCGAAACAGCCGCCACTGAGCGGGACCATCCGCCGCCGCACCACGCAGGTCACCTTGGCAACGCAAGTCTGCTGGCCACCACCTCCCACGTCGACCTCCTCGCCAACTCCGTGGGCGCCTCCCACGCCGGCCTCCTCACCAACTTCGTGGTCGCAACTAGCGTACGGTCCCACCAGACCGCCGTCCTCCACTGCCAAGCAGATGCGAAGCCCTCCAATCGCCGCGCCAACGCACTCCTGACAGCCTTCCTCCGCCGTGGACACCGCAAACTTGAATCCTCAACTAGGCCTCCACCTCCTCGGCACGACGCTAGCTGTTGCCGCAGACTGACCGAGCACAAGTCCAAAACAACGC